TTCCCAACAACAACATGGCAAAAAACTTTGGACCAGTTCAGCAGAGGATCATCGTTTGTTCTTGTACAGCTGTGCAGGTTGTAATCTGTGTGCTGTGGCTTAGTTTGAAACCACCCTTTCCTGACAAAAATGTTAAGCTCAGTAATAAAAAGATCATTTTAGAATGTAACACAGGATCAGAAATTGCATTTTATGCGGTACTGGGCTATATAGGCCTGCTTGCAGCTACTTGTTTGGTGCTGGCTTTCTTAGCCAGGAAACTGCCTGATAATTTCAATGAGGCCAAGCTGATTACTTTCAGCATGCTCATCTTCTGTGCAGTTTGGGTCACCTTCATCCCAGCGTATGTCAGCTCACCTGGAAAATACACTGTTGCAGTTGAGATTTTTGCTATTTTGTCCTCTACATTTGGCCTGCTGTTTTGTATTTTTTCTCCAAAGTGCTACATAATTTTGCTGAAATCTGAAAAAAACACAAGAAAACACATTATGGGAAAAGTACCATCTAAGCGATTATGATTTCTCTTTCTTTTTATGTGTTTAGTATTACAGTTTCTCTAAAATATGTTCCTCTCTTTTCAACACAGCTAGATTAAGTGAACATGGGTGTTTCCACAAATGCTTTCATCTGGATTTATGTAGGAATAAAATGGCAAATACTGTATATCATGACATTAATTGTAACATATTTTAGAAATGTGTTTTTATCTATTTATATTATTGTTTTAAATATATATGTAGAATACAGTAAACATAGACAGTTCTGCTCCTGCAAAAGTTATATTGAAATATAAATTAATCTTCAGAGGTTTTCAGTTTGAATTCAGGAATCCAGTATCAGTTAACAAAGAATCTCAGAGTTTTATTTGCTCAATAAATATCCTGACAAAGTGTATTCAATCACATCCCTGTGTCCATGCCTTTTGCAACTTATAAGAACTTTTCTAAAATTAAATTAAATATTATCTCACAGAAATAAATTTAAAAAAGAACATTCTGTATCTAAACAATGCTTATAATGTGTTTTTAATTTTCTATCTCACGTTTATAAGCAGAAGCCTCCCTCTGGTGGGAGTCAGGAGTATTTAATTTTTTAAAACATTCATCTAAGGCATTTGTAAATTACCCAAAAAATTACAACTGAATTCATTACAAATAAAAGAAAGACATGAAATTTTGATGTAGAATGCATAGCAACTGTAACTACCCTATATACAATTATTTGCAAAAAACATTTTAATAGTTTTATGAACTCTTAGCATTACAGGTTTAAATTTGAGCTTTATGTGAAATCAAAGGTCCCAGATAAGACGATTTTGTGACAGATCATAACATATAACATTACTTTATTAACCCTTTACAATTTCTTGCATTTGGAATTTTCACATACCCCAGCTTACTCCCCATGAGACACACAGATAGGGAGAGAGCCTGGGGTCAAAGCCATTGTACAGCACCCCTGGAGCAGTTGGGGTTAAGGGCCTTGCTCAGGAGCCCAACGGAGTAGGATTCCTCTGCTGGCTGTGGGATTTGAACCTTCCAGCCACAGGCGCAGATCCTTAGCCACAGAGCCACCACTCCGCCCAAATGTGGTTTCTGATATGTGTTCCATCATAATCATGGCCCTTTGTAGTTTTTAGGGAATTATAAAATGATTTTGCACAAAAGGCTTAATAAACATCAGAGGTCACAAATATAGTGTGTTTTCTTGGAGAACAGCCAGGGACCTACAGTATTTGTGTTCTACGTTACCTTTCTACATCTAAGATTGAGTTCTAATTACATTTTTTCAACTGAATAGAATACGGAACTAAATAGAATAAAAAGTCAAAGGCTGAATACAAAACCAAATGACAGTATGCGATCAATGGATTCTATTCATTTGTAGACTAGTAAGCGCAGTTTGTTAGTCCTCTGTGCTTATTCATAACGCAGTGACACGATTACTTGCTCTTGAAAACATCAAAGTCCTTAAAGCTGTTCCTTGTTAGACAGACAACATTTAAGACTAACTTTTCGACTTAATTATGTAGCTGAAGTATATAATAAAATAATTCTAGGAATCATTATTTTTTCAATAAAACGTTTACAAAAATCGAACAGAACCACTCGCACTGCAGGCAATAATTATACCACGGTACAATACTTCAGATTTCTTCCAGAAAAACAATTATTCATTCACAATTGATACATTATGGCTAAATAAACAAGTATTAAGGGAGTGACACGGGTGCAAAAGAAAATCCTCAGTTAAAAAAGAACATGGCAGAGACGAAACTGGACAGTTCTGGGGAGCCGATACTGAAAATCGTGTTTAATCCCCTCGGTCAGACCCGTTCAGCCAGCACCCAACAATTGTCTGATGGATTCTTCCATCTTTGCTTTTTTATTATTATTTTAACCTTCCCTATTTTCTTTAGACAATTTTTTAACCAACATACTGTATAATATAATTATTTTATGCTAATCGAAACTTTCATAGAAACACTAACACTATACACACAAGCCACAGGTGATTAAAGTTTGATCGTGAAACCATAAGAAAGGTCACAAATGAGTGGAAACCATGTGGCCCGCCAAGTTAGTAAGTAGATAATTGTTCAAAATGTCTCATCCTGCTGTTTTTTAAAGGAAGTTGGAGTGTGGGCTTCCACAGCATGGCTGAGGAGCGTGTTGGATACCTCCATAACCCTTTAGAAATGGTCCTCTCTGTGTGAAATGAAGGAATCCTGCTAATTATGAAGAAATTTGCTTGCCTACTGCCCCGTCACCGTCCTCAGGCGCAGGCTGGCGGTCTCCCGTCCTGGGGGTCCGGCTGCCCCGGCGCCCGGCAGGACACCAGGCCGCGGCAGGGTGATGGTGGAGCCGGTGTGGACCAGGGCCTGGCAGGGTCGGACTTCGATGAGGCAGGGAAGAAATAAACCCCGGCTGTGGCCAACCCTCCCTACGGCAGCAGACTGTCACGACCGACATCCCTCCCTAGAGGGCGCTCCACTGTTCTCATTATTGTTCGTGTCATTTAGCTCTCCAGGTGTACCCTTTTAGTGTTATTATTTAAAGACCAGCTCTTCCAGTCCTCGGGGTCTCATCATTAGGGTAAGATGTCGCGAGGCCCGCCTAGCACCAGGAAACCCTACGTCCGTCTCCTGAGGGCATAGGCCTCATCCCCGACACCTCCCGCTCCCTGAGCCCGGGGTCTGGAGGATCTCGCCCCGTCACCCTTGGACCTCCATGTTTCGTTTGTCCGTGTGCTCCCCCCTCCCGGGGATTTTAACCTTGTCGCGCTCCAGGATGGATTTCCAGTTTATGGACTTTCGGACTGTGCTTTGACCTGCCCTTGGACCCGTTTGGATTTGGATGCCGTTTTGTCTTCCCCGTACACTGTCTCACGGACTGTCACTATTATTTTGTGCACTATTAAACCCCTGTGTGTTCCTTTTACCACGCCTCCTGTTTTCTCCAGCTCTTACCGCATCGCATAGGGTCTTCTACAAGATCTGACACGGATTCCTGTCTGTGTCCGTTACACAGACGGGGTGAAGGGCTCCTCCTGGCTCTCCGGAGCGGGGGTAGCGTCGTTCAAGGGCGGCCTTCCCCCCTTTAGGCCGCCCCGCTCCCTTTTTCCCGACGGCCTCCGGAGGCCTTGGGGCTCCGGGGCCCGGCACTCCCAGGCGAAGTGCCCCCTCTCTCCCCACAGCGGTGGCAGATGACCCGCTGTCGCCGTCGTCGTCGTCGTCGTCGTCGTCGTCGTCGCTCCCCCGTCTCCTCCTCCCCATCTGAGTCCCGCGGAGTCCGCCAGTCTCCTCGAACACGGCATCAGCCCGCTCAGCCGGAGCCAGGGCCTGCTCCAAGGAGACCGGCGCGGCCAGCATCACGTGGCGCTGCACCTCGGCCTGCGCAATGGCCCGGAGGAACGCCGGGAGCGCTGTCCCCTCCCGGTGCAGGAAGGGCAGCTGGGGAATAGTCACCCTCCAGCGGGAAGGCCGCCGTCCAGTAGCGCTGATAAGGGCGATGGGCCGTTCCAGCTCCTGGCGGCTGCTGCTGCTGCTGCTTACCCCCAGAAAGCCCCCAACTTCTGGGGGAGTTGCTCCTGCTGACACCAACTTAGCCAGACAGAAACTCAGGCTCTTGTTCACCGACAACACGACACTATTAATCGTACGTACCACAACAGATAGAAGAAAAGGCTACAACACACTGAGGTCAATTCGGGTACAGTTACAACGGTATAGGGTGGTGATTGGGTACAAGTATAAAAGGGGTGCAAAAACCAGGGAAACGTACTTACACGAGTCAGGGAGATCTCACGACAATGTACACCAGTTCCGCAATTGGTCAGCTGAACTGACTGCCCCAGCCGGGCGAGGGAGCTACAGTATGATGATTTTTAACAGAGATCACATAGATTGTGCTTGTTTTACAACAGACAGCCCCAGTTTGCCAGGTAGTATAAACATGTCATAAATTAGCACCAAGACACATCTTTAAGCTTGATCGTCTTTTTTATGACGTTGGTCAATATTAACAAGAGGTAACATTTGAATACTCATAAAAAACGTGTTTATACCATTATACCACACACGGTTGCAGAATATTATGATTGTTTTTGTCAGAGATAATATAGTTTGTGATTGTTTTACAACAGACAGCCCCGTGGTGCTGACACTGGAAAACCTGTTTCAATCCGCTGAAGTCAAGATTGTTTACATAGAGCCGAACAGTTTTCTGATGGATTCTTGCGTTACGTTATTTTTCTATCATTTCAACTTTCTACGTTTCCTTTTTATTTGATATTCTAATGGTTGCGTGACATGAAAACAAGGATATGTTTTTTCACACTGCGCACAGACAGTATTTCATTACACATGGATGTGTATCTCGCTACTTGAACATCCCTTTCACGCCGAGTAATATCACCTCTTGGGAGACCACTGTTAATGTCATGCTGTCTATTCCACTCGATAAATCTGCACAGAGACCCTGAGGATATTTTCCAGTTTATAAAATGACAAAGGAACAACTTTGATCTCATTCATTTTTCTAGATCTTTCGACAAGGTACAGCATAATGTACACACACCTTCTAATGGTTTTCATCTTCTGTTTCTCTTTTCAGGTGGACGGCGATCTGACTTGCCGGATCATGGGAAAAGACACCATGTCTGGTTTATTCAAAGACGGTGATTTAGTGAT